TCCTAGATAGTTTATCCTTTGGGAGATTATTGTAAATGGTATTGCTTTCCTAATGTCCTTTTAGAGCTGTTGATTTTGTTTAGAGGAATCCAACTGATTTTTGTTTGTTGATTTTATACCCTGCCACTTTGCTGAATCTTCCAATGAGGTCTAGTAGTTTTTTTTACTGAGTCTTTCGGGTTTTCTACGTATAGGATCATATCGTCTGCAAATAGAGAGTTTTAATTCCTCTTTGCCAATTTGGATGCCTTTAATTTCCCTGTCTTGCCGTAGAGCTCTTGCTAAGACTTCCAGGGCAGTCTTTTTGTATTAATTTTAATCAGTGTATATATACATATTTCTTTACAGTTCTAGGGATCTGTACGTTCATCATGGTCAATTAAAATATAAATGAAAATACCTCTGTAAAACTTTGAAAACAACTACCAAAGTAGTAAGCTTTCATTATCCTTTTGCGAAACCTACAGGTCCAGGTGGTAGAGCTGAGGAATAATGACATTACTACCTAAAAAGGAAGATTCTGCATCAGCTGGCAAACAAAAGCTGGAATAAGATTCCTTCAACAGTCACAGCCCACACTCCTAATGCTGGTCATCAATTGTGATGGAAAGTGTGAACAACTCCCGTGGTGCTCGCTAATTTCCAGGGAAGCAGACACACATCCTATATTCCTGCCTCCTCCTAGGCTCCAGGATCTTATTCAGAGCAGTTCTTTACAAGACTCAACTGTACAGAGGACAGAAAATCAAATACGCTAAATGGAACCGTGAAGCTAGATAGGATGTGGGCAAATCTCTAACTGGAATAAGAATCAACAGAAGCCAAGGTAAGAGTCGACTAAAGAGAACACGTACAGGGCAGGAGGAGGATTACTGAGGAGCGCAGGGGCCCTTCTAAAGGAGACAACATGTTACAAAATGAGGCAACAACCCTGTGAGTAGATTAAAACACGATGAACTGTACACTTGAAATGTGCAAATGGTTTGGTATATGTCTAATATATCAATAGGATGATTTTTTAAGAAAGACCATGTACATGGACAACCTGTAAAAATGAGTATAAAATGCACTGATAGTTTTGCAAACATTTCTGGCTAAGTCCAAGAGAAAGCAACAGACCACAAAGTGCATTTGTACCAGGCATTCTGATGATCTTAACTAGATCAAGAAAAAAATTTAGATAGTTGCAGTCTAACACGTGGGGTCCTGGTGTGACACTTTAGGATAAGCACTGGATTGCTAACCACAAGGTCAATGGTTCAAACCCACCAGTCACTCCTTAGAAACCCAATACAGGGTCATCATGATTCAGAACTGACTCGACAGCACTTAACAATAACAATTTAACACATACCAGGAAAAGAATCTTCGAAATAATATAGAAGAATGCTAGTCTATATTAATATTTGCTATATTAAATGGAATTGTATTGGTTATTGTGCTAATTATAATTATGCATAATAAATAACAGTTAATAACATATTGTTGTTGCTGGTAAGTACCATCGAGTTGGTTCTGACTCATAACAACCCTATAGTGGGTTTCCAAGAGTGTACTTTTTTTTTTTTTTTTTTTAAGTTTTTATTGTGAATTGAGTGATAGTTTACATGGGAGAACATCACCTTTACATTCATCCTATGATATTTCATTTCATTGCAATCATTACAATCCCCTCCATCATGCCTCATCAAACACAAAGGGTACACCCCGCAACAAGTCTGTCTGTCTTTGTAGGAGCAGAAAGTCTCCTCTTTCTTCCGCTAATATATTGTCTATTAATATTTCCTATAATAATATCCAAAACCAAACCCATAGCCATCAGGTCAGTTACGACTCGCAGAGACCCCACAGGGCTTCTGAGACTGGGAACCTTTATGGGTGCGGACCACTTCATCTTTCTCCCTTGGAAAAAATGCATTTTTAAATTAATAGAGGATAAACAAATACAGAATTTATTCACAAAATATAAATAGCTTTTTATGGATATATGTTTTAGTTTGTTTAATAACTCAATCTGCACTGCTGCTGTGAAGTGTCGTCGGGTTAGTTACGACTCAAAGCGACCACATCAGGAATTCTCACGTGCATTAAGGGTATTATTTTTGCATGCATTTTGTATCTGTATGATATAAACACGCTATTTTGTATTATGTATTACTTCATATTAAAAAAGTAATTATAGATAAAAATAATTCTGCCTGCCTATTATTTCCAGAGCTCAGGCACGCTTATGAAGAGAACGTATAAAGAATGGTGATTGCTATCAGCTAAGAAGTAGGAAGTCTTATAAGGGAGGACTTGAAACATTGTTTACTGTTTTGCAGCAAGATACCTTTCAGGTAAGCTGATTTCATAAACACCTATGAGTTCTGTCTTGCCCATATTAGCATTTGTCTCCCTATGCTCCCTCTAAGTTTAATGAAGCAGTACCCTTGCCCTGCTCTCCACCACAGAATTTACCAACATTGTCAAAAGTCACTCCAGGAACAACTGCTCTGCAGCTTGTGCTTTAGAACTGAACTTCAAAGCTGAAAAGATACAAGCTGTGAAGAATGGCACCCAAGCTGGAGAGGGAAATTCTGTTTCAGAAAGGGCAGCATGTGTCTTCTGGGCCCGGGGCCATAAATCTGATGCGTGGGCTTGCAGCCTTCACAACAAGAAAGTCACGCACCTGGCCTGGGTCGTTGTACCAAAGTTCATCATGGAGTCGGTCAGGGTGGGCCTTCTTGCGTTTGATTTCCGCAATCACGTCAAAAACTTCAGAGTCTGAGCTGCTGGAACAGGTACTGTCCTCCTCGGACTCACACTCCGACTCACTGGAACTCTCTAGTGGAGGTCGGGAGACAAAGGGGAAAAGAAGTTGAAGTTATGGGTGCAGTCTTCCAAAATTAACCTAAGCTTCTGAATGTAAGAACAAAGGCCCCGGGGTGGTGTGAATGGTTTGCTCTTAGCCTATCACTGAAAGGGTTACTAGTTCAAACACACCCAGTGGTGTCAAGGAAGAAAGCCCTGGCAATCTGTTTCCATGAAGACTGTTGTTGTTGTTGTTTAATACCGTCAAATTGGTTCCTACCCACAGTGACCCTGTATAGCATATCCGAGAAGCAGAAAACCCTGTGGAGCTCGGTTGTGCTATGTCACACAGGGTTGCTGTGATTTGGAATAGGCACCATGGCAACAGGTTGGGTATCATTCTGCACAAAGCAATACCATGAAAAACCATAGTCAATCCTACTGTAAAGTGATAGTTGAGTCGGAGAAGAAAAGAACACAATGCGCTATTACTGAGAAACTAAGACACAGTGAGGAACGCCAGACAAAATGGAAAACAGGAATACTACTAGGTGGCTGCATACTACTTGGGACGGAGTGACTTTGTACAGTAAGGACTGGACTTCAAAGCACAAGGTCAGCAGTTAGATCCCACCAGCCACTCTGCAGGAGAAAGATGAGACTTTTTATTCCTATGCAGATTTATATATAGCCTTGGAAACCCTATACAGGGTCGCTCTGAGTTGGAACCACCTTGACAGCATTTAACAACACTTGTGTGGTTGCATGTTTAAAAAAGCTGTAGTGACTGGCTGAGAAGAGGGCTGGTCTAGTGATCTAGAAATAGAAAGGTCAGTGAGGTTTCACAGAGGGGTGGTCTAGGCTGGGTGGGTCAGACTGCAGGCAGGACAGAAGGAAGGAAAGCACAGAAGACGTTGGATGCACAAGCCTGGCAGCAAGAGCACCCAGGACGAGTCAGGACTCCAGAGCAGCGAAAGCCTCACAGGAAGATACTGGAGGAGAGGAGTCCAGAGTCTCCGCTGGGGAAGGTTGGGAACAGCAGACTGAAGATTCGACATGGTTTTCTCTCCATGGGAGCTGCCGAGTGTATCCAGGCCTTGAAAGTGGCCGGATAAGTGTAGACCTTGAACCAAGACTGGCACAGGAGCTCCTTTGTGAGCCTTCCCACCAGCCTTGTCATTGTTGTTGTTGTTGTTGTCGTTGTTGTCAGGTGCCATCAAGTGGGTACTGACTCATAGTGACCCTATGCACAACAGAACGAAATACTGTTCCGCCCAGTGCCATCCTCACAATCATTCTTACACTGTGGCCTTGTTTGCGCTGATTACATAGTACCAGGTTGGGTCTCTACAATTGCCAAAAATTGTAAATTAAATGGATCAAATGTGAGAATTTTAAACATGATGTATCAGTTCTTTACATAATGAACCTATGGCATCAAAGTTTTAGGAAGGCTCATCAAAAGTCAGTGTTGACGAGAGGAATGCAGGACCCTATCCAGAGAAGCAGCGACACCAGAGATGCAGGCAGAGATGAGGACATGGAGAGAGGGAGCAGCAGAGGACTCTGGACTCATGGAAAGAGAAAGACTGAGTGCTGGCAGCCAGGAGGCAGTTTTGCAGAATGTGCACTTGGGTTGTTTAAATTATTATATATTCCTGAGTGTTTTTGTGTACTTCCCCCCCTCACCAAAAAAACACAAAAAACAGAGGGATTAGAAGCAAATACTGTTGAATGATGATGCACAGAGGAGATTGTAATCATTGCAACGAAATGATGGTATAAAACTGATGTTCTCCCATGAAAACGATCACTCAGCCATAACTGGAGTCCTAGTATGGCGCAGTAGGATAAGCACTGGGCTACTAACCAAAAGGTCGGCCGGCGGTTCAAACCCAGCAGCCACTTCTTAGAAACCCTATATAGGGTCACTATGAGTCAGAAGTGACTCAACAGCACTTAACAGCAGTCACAGATACCTAATACTGATCATGGATCTCAGCAACACTGGAGAGGAATTAGATGATTTATTTTATGAAGACAGGAATCATGATAGCAGGAGCCATCAGAACAAAAGAGATGGAAAACAGTGCACCTCTCAACACATCAGCATTTAAAGGTCCCTGGCTTGATTCTCATAGGATCATGTTGAGTGATTTTAGTGAAGCTGGTCTGGAGTCATTTCTCAGAAAGACTATTCTACAAAGCAGCTTTACTAGCTGTCACATTTCTTTAAAAAAAAAAAAAAATTTTGTACTAGTAGCTAAACTTACTGACTCGAAGGCACTTAACAGCAACAATAGCTAAACATTAATAAAGAAAAGAGAATTGTGGTTCCAATTTTATCACATTCAACAATCTTACACTTCAGGGTTTTATTCAAAAGAAAGTCACATTTCTAATCCTTTCCGATAGCGTAGTATACAGTGAATTGTGCAGCTTGGTTGTACCAGAAAAGAATATCATAATTGTTTATAGTCATTTTCAAACCCAAGTGCTGCTTGGAAACCCTATACTGGGTCACTATGAGTCAGAACCAACTTGACAGCACTTAACACCAACACTTAATAAGAGCAAAAAGGAGAAAATTATAGCAATGGAACAAAAAGAAGAAACTTCCATTGCTATGCATTTTGCTAATTGTAATTAAGGAAAATAAAAATGAAATTTCAAGTTGGGACTCTCAAGAGCGCAATTCCAAAAGTCTGGGCCAAACAGTATGGTCTGAGACCTGAATGACCCCTCTACTCACCTAAATCTTCATCTAGCTTTGTCTTGGGTGGCTCCCAGGGCGGTCTGGCAGCTTTTGCTTTTTCTTGCCTGCTCCCCAACTCTTCCTCAAATTTGTCATACAAGTCTCGGAGCCTACTTGTTCCGACTACTGTGGAATCTCCCTTTTAAACATAAAAGATCAATATTAAGAACCACAGTAATAATTAATTCTACCAAAGACACATAAGCCCTCACAAATAATGGAAGAATTTATAACAGCAAGACACCATTTTTTAACCCTCAAATTAACAAACATTTAAAAACAAAAATGTACTCAAACCCCTGAAACAACTGCCCTGAGACAATCTTGAAGCTTTAACCTAAAAATATTCCCTGAAGCCTTCTTAAAATCAAACAGTAGTTTACCTTCACTAAGAAAGAGTGTGTGCCCGATGCACTGAGCTTTTATAAGATCTATTTATATTGTAATAAGCTGACAACAGCAACTCAGATTAGATAGGCAACTTGGGGGGGCGGTGAGTTTATGTGAATGGAGAGAGGGCCAACTCAGAAAAGGGGGAAGAATGTAACCAAAGGCACTGAATTGCTCAGGGGGGAACTGGTGGATTAGTGTAGATTCTCAACAACTAATGTAAATGACTAAAAAATATAATAATAATGACCAATATTGGCAACAATATTCTGAATCAAATACACACCATATGCCCAACATATCCTAAACTTCAGGTAAGTGTACTTTGGCAACATAAGAACCATAACTGTCTATGCCCTTTTAAGCGACTTTAAAAAAAACACAACATGAAATCCTCCTAGAATTCATAACATCTTCCTGAAAAATATACGCAAGCCTTGGTGGCACAGTGGATTAAATATTGGACTGCTAACCAAAATGTTGGTGGTTCAAACCCATCAAGAACAAAGAAGTCTCCTTTCAGGGTCTCCACATAACAGGGTCCAAATTAGGCTATTATCACAGTAATGTCAACAACAGAACTCTCTCTCAACAAATTCCAAGAAGTAAGTCCAACATCTCATATCCTAACATATGAACAGTCACTCATTCACTCATTTGTTTATTCAGTGAACACAACTGTGTGTCTGTTGTTGTTGTTGTTGTTGTTAGGTGCCATCAAGTAGGTACCGACTCATAGCAACCTAATGCACAGCAGAACAAAACATTGCCCCGATCCTGGGCCAACCTATTATTACCACGCTTAAGTCCATCGATGCTGCCACTTGGCCAATTCATCTTGTTGGGGGGGGTCTTCCTCTTTTTCTCTG